CCCCCCTTGTATACAGACACACCCCTAAAAAAAAAAATAAAAAAAATTGGGCGCATGATCCGCACATCACTAATTTGCGCATGGCGCATGGCACACGCGCACCGCAGAAGTGCGCCGCAAGTATGGTCTGAAGCCATACATAGACGATGCTTCAGCCCCGTACAACCATACACAGATGAATGGTGGGAGGAGAGACGATGAGGGTGGGAGATATGGACAACACCAGATGTCACCGAGATAGAATCCAGCAGGTCACCGATATGGTAGCCCAAAATGTCACTGAACAAAATCAGAATGTCGTGGACATAAGTCACCAATTTTGGAGGTACAGAATCCTATTGTAACCGTGTCCGATCTGTGATGCCGCCAGGTATCAATTCTAACTATCTCCAATGTCTCGGGTCTGGTAAGTATCACATCCTCCTATCCTCGAAGTCCAATCACTGATCTCTGTCCAACTCGTATCAACAGTCTCCAGTCTGAAGAAGAAAAAGAAGAAGTCTGAAGAAGAAGAAGAAGATGAAGAATTGAGAGGGGCAAAGGTAGTAGAAGAAGTCCCGGGAGGGACAAAGCATCGGCGGAGCGGGAGAGTAGCCCATGCTCTACCTGTAGCTGAAAGGTGGCGCCTTGCTGCTGTTGGAGATAGTTGCGCCGCTGGAGCTATGGTGCTCGCGGCGGCAGTCAGGTAAGTCTCCTCCACGGTCCCCTCTACTGCAATGCACTTAGCGCTGCAGTTCCCAGGCCGGTCGCTCCACAGTGCCGCTTTCCAAGTCCTTGGAATGGCTGCTGGACCGGCCTAAGTATCGGCCGGTCGGCCTCAATGCTGGCCCAACGCGCCGTGATCTGAATCGTCAAAATTGACGATTCAGATCAGACCGGCGGGCGGGAACCTCAAGGGCGCCGCCAGGCCCAAACGGTAATGTCGTTTGGGCCTATGCCAGGTCTGCTGCAGGAAAGCCAACCGGTGGGCTCACGACGGCCTACCGGGAGAAGAGGTCCGGCCTTTGGCTGCGCCGGCCTAAGTACCCCTTAGTCTAGTGGTCGGGTCCGAAAGGAACCCGCGTGGCATCAATATGTAACACACTCCCCCCCTTAAAAGACCGAGCTACCTGCGAGGGCGAAGTTGTCTGTCAGATACCTGAGTGGGTTGGGTGGGACGAACGTTGTCCTTGGCAAGTCGCCGGTTCTCATAGTCGGAGAAGATGACTGGTGCAAATGCTTGAAAGTCTGCACGGGAGATCCAGTGAGTGTCATCAGGGGCACATTGCTTGAATGTGACTTTGTATTGCATTGGCTTGTTGCCAAACTTGCGATGCGTGATGACACGGTCAACTTCCTAATGTCCGTCCATAGAAGGCGGATTCTGTGATCGTCTGCCCGGAAACTCATCCTCGGAAGGTGGCATATACACGGCCAGCTTCGACGCATGGAAAACCGGGTGCACGCGAAGGTGCGGTGGGATGACAATCACAAAGGAAGGGCTAGCAGGGTCGTCGCCTGCTGCAGCGATTACCTTCCATGGTCCAAACCATTTCGGGAGGAGTTTGCGTGAGACGTCTTGCTCAAGTGCCCAAACAAGGTCTCCTTGCGGAAAGGACGTGGGAGTCGATGTTGGTTAGCTTGCGGCTGCATGCGGATTTGAGCCTTTTGCATGTTCGCGCGGGCTTTAATCAGCAAGTCCCGGTGCTTCCGAATGAAAGCGGGAGAGCAAGCGACGTCGATGTCGGCTGCCCGTGGTAAAAGAAGATCGGCAAAGACTCACGCTTTCTCTCCACTGTGATGCAACTCTAATGGAGTGAGGCAGATCGTCGGGTGCACCGAAGTGTTATAGGCGAACTCGATGTCGAGAAGCCGGTCAACCCAATCTTTCTGGCCGGGACGGATGAGTGTGTGCAACATCATTTGAGCGGTCTGATGCGCGCATTCCGACTGCCCATCTGTCTGTGGGTGCCTTGCGAAACTCGACTTTATAGTTGAACCGGACTCCGCCAGGAGGGAAGTCCAAAAGGCTGACATGAAGCGAGTGTCTCTATCGCTCACAATATCTTCCGGAACACCGTGGCAGGTAATCCAGCGGGTGTGCAAGAGTCGTGCGAGCTCGGGGGCTGTAGCACGGTACTTGCATGGAAGAAAACGAGCGTACTTGCTCAAATGGTCGACGATTGTGAGGATGTCGTCATGACCAAGGTGATCGCGGGGGAACATGCCTGTAACATCCATAGCAATGGAGAGGCGCGGTGCCCGAGGAATTGGCATCGGTTTCAGTTCGCCATAAGGGACCTGAGATCTACCTTCGTTATGATGGCAAACTGCGCATGACTCAATGTACCTCGTGACGTTACCCTCCGCAAATTCTACCTCATATCCTTTGCCTGGGAATGCATCAACTGACGTGAACGGCAACAACTTAGATGCATGGAAGACAGGGTAGGTTTGTAGATGCAGAGGGACGCCCACTGTATAGGATGGTCTAAATGGATCAGCTCCCACTGTATCTAAGACCTGCCATGGACCCATATATCGTGGCAAGAGCTTCGGCGAAATGTCCTCTTCTTGCGACAACTCAGAACTGAGTACCCACACCTAGTCACCTGTGCGAATAGTAGAAGGACGCTTGTGCTTATTAGCGTGCTGAATCATAGCCTTTTGGGCTTTCAGCAGGTTAGCACGGGCGCGCTCTATGTCCACACGGTAACGCCTGGTGAACTCTGCAGTTCCAGGTGTCAGCGTAGGGGTAGCCTTATCGATGATGTCATCGAGAGGTTGTCGTGGCTCACGGCCCCAGTGCAGCCGGTAGGGTGTAAAGCCAGTAGAGGAGTGTACAGACGTGTTGTACACAAGCTGCGCACGACCCAAATGGATATCCCAGTCCTACTTATCTGGACTGATCACAAGACACAGCAACTGAAACATAATCTGGTTCATCACTTCAGCCTGTCAATTGGCTTCATGATGACGACCAAATGTCATGTCCAGCCTGGAATGAAGGCAATCCCTGCAATAGGATTGCCATTCATTGTTGAAGAAACGAGGATCTCGATCACTGACGATAGAGGTGGGTGGTCCATGATGTGTAACCCACCTGTCAGCAAATGCCGCCTGAACGGTCGGAGCGCGTGCCTCAACTGGTAAGGGGATGAACTCTGCATATTTAGAGAACCAGTCCACACATACCATAATGTGACGCATACCACGAGGTGTGGTCCTACCCAAGTCAGTAAAATCAATCGGCACTGACTGTGCAGGTGCATCAGGGATAGGTAGTGGTTTGAGTAGGCCAAGGGGAGGTCGACGTACAACCTTGTTCCTTTGGCATAACTCGCAGGTTTCTACGTAATGCAGCATGTCACTCCTCATCTCCTTCGAGAAGAAGCGTTGCGACAGGGCTGCTTTAGATTTGAGGGCCCCAAAGTGACCACGAGCATCGTGACACTCTGACATCAACAATGTTCTTAGCTTGCGGTCCTGGGGAATGCGCAGGCACTCCTCACCTCTGCTGCATGTATACAGCAGATCTGAAACCAGAGTATATCCTGGTTCAGAGACAGGATCATCCTGAAGATTCCTCACAATAGGCCCAAGAATCTCATCCTGCGGCAGCAAACGAGCAATGGTCTGACGAGTCCTCTCTCCAAATGAGTGGGTAAAGGAGATCTGGAAAAGATCGTCAGGCCTACGAGAAAGGGTGTCTGCTACTCGATTATAGCAGCCCTTCTTGTGCTTCAGTTCCAACTATTATGATTCTGGTTGTTTGTTGTCTGAGACCAACACTCGCACACATAGACTTCCAGGTATGCCCATGCACACAAAGAAGGAAGGGGAGAGGATAGGAGTATCACACCGCACAGGGAGAGAGAAACACAGCGGAAGACTTGACCATGCGATATGACAGGGTACACTGAAAGTGCAATTCACTCCACTCAATCCTCACAACCAGTCGTAAAGAAAAGCCAAGTAGATCACATCCAGGAAACAATGAAACGATGATAGTCCAAACCCAGTTACCCACTGTCGATTAAACTCAGAGTCTCGGATTGTCAGGATAACTTCAGTACTACAGTGTCGCTCAGAAACGAGCACCGCTTCAGTCCCCAACCCTGATTAGCCACTTGTAACACCCCTGAGCCCTGAAACATCAAGCGCCACCCAGATACAGCCTCCAAAGGGAAGCGCCACCCTGAAACAGGCCTCTGAGGCCAAGCGCCACGAAGAAGACCAGCGCCACCGTATCTGATGATGACGAAGTGTCGGAAGACTTCCTGGATGGAAGTCTGCAGCAGCGCCACCAAACCCTAACAAGATGACCTCTGAGGAAGAAGCTGCAGCTATGGCTGCAGCGCCACCACCCTGGAACCCCACTTCGGAGGAGGGTCCAGCAGGGCACCAACTTCTCTCGCCTCCAGCAGACCTCGATAGCCCAGACCTCTGTCAGCCCCGGCGTGCTGGCAGAGTACAGCGCAGGTCCCAGCTATGGCCGGTGCTCCGAAGGTCTGGCTATGCCCGTCTCCTTCCACGCTGAGCCGTCACCACTTCCAGTTCACGCGTAGCGCAGCAGCGATGTACTCGGTACCAACTGCCAAAAGCCCCGAACCGATGTGCCCCTTCTATCTATAGACTACAGCTAGCCTAGACTCGACCTAGACCGGACTGACTGCAGACCTCTGGCAGAGTACAGCGCAGGTCCCAGCAATGGCCGGGGCTCCGAAGGTCTGGCTATGCCTGTCTCCTTCCACGCTGAGCCGTCACCGCTTCCGGTTCACTCGTAGCGCAGCAGCGATGTACTCGGTACCAACTGCCAAAAGCCCCGAACCGATGTGCCCCTTCTATCTATAGACTACAGCTAGCCTAGACTCAACCTAGCCCGGACTGACTGCCTGACCGGTACCGTATCAGTTTCGGCCCCTCAGCCTCTACCGTACCCGGCTATAGGCTGTAGGACCATCTATCAGCATAGGCCCTTAGGGCCTGTCTGTCCTAGGGGTAGCCCGGGCCTGCTATCCGCAGTAAGGCCTGTATTTTCTCCAAATTTACAGGTATGTCCCTCATGAATTTCCACTACAGGTAGGTCTCTCGGTTAGCCCTCAGCCAAACAAAATTACGAATCTACCCTACCTATGGTACAGCCTCGGCAGAGAGAGGCTACAGGCGACCAGAAAACAGCAAGTCATTGCACATACACAGGCCTGTTTGGTTCCTGTCACGTGTCCGACTCGCCGGAACTGTCTTGCTTTCGTCCCTGCTCAGTCTCTCCCATCTCGTCCTGTCCTATCACTTGCAAGCCCTGTCCTTCGCCCATCTCCTTTTTCCCAATCTTATTACTCGTTGCCGTCAACTCTCTGTGTTGCCTCTTCATCTTGGGCTTCCACTTCAACTGGCAGTGCCCCCTTGTCCTCTCCCCGGGCCCCTCCAGATGCCGACACCCCATTCCCGCCCCCTCCTCCTCCACCCTTGTTCCCTTAGCCCGACTGCTACCTTGTTTTTTCTTTTTTTTCAGGGGAGGGGAGAGGGCAGGTGGTCTAGTTATTGTTGGCTTTGGATGCTGATGTGCTTTTGTAGTGTGATTGAATGTCCATGACTCTGTCCCTCACGTCTTCTTCATTGCGATTGGTAATTCTTGTCCTCTTTTGTTTTTCGTCGTGTTTTTGGATGGGTGGGGGAAAGGTGGGAGGACAGGGATCTGTAGGT